CCTCCCAAGACTCAGGATCCCTGCCTGTATCAAACCACCTCACACACACACACACACACACACACACAGAAGTGAATTCGAAGGATAAAAACAGAACACCACTGATCCAATTATATCTGGGTAAAAAAAAATAAATAAAAAGCATTAAGATACAACCCTGCACACTTAATGCTCAAGATCAGACAGACAGACAGACATGGACAGACAGACAGTAAATATAAAGGACAGGAAGAAAAGACAAGCAAGGGTGGGTGACAGGGGTGAAAGGCGGGACAAGCAGGGAGACAGGACAGCGGGTATTAAGCAACAGCACGATGAGGTGTGGTCAACATCATTGAAAAAACGTCAGCACACAGTATGAGCCCATCAGCACCTCTCCTCTCTCTCTCTCTGCATTGGGGGGTGTTGTGTCGTCACTTCTATCATGCATTGTTTGTTTACATCTCTAAATAACAAGGTTTTCTACATCTCATTAACCTACTGTACTTTATTATTATTCTTGTTTATTATTGTTATTATTATTGTTATTATTGTTTATTATTATTATTATTATTATTTTATTATTATTATTATTATTATTAAATTACATAGGCGGTACTTTTGTATCTGTTGACCTTAGTTGACTTTGTGTGTTGGATCTGAAGGAGGAAAAGATCAAGAAAGTAAGGAATAAAGGAGGAGGAGGAATAGGAAGAAAACGGGGAGAGAAGACAAACAAGTACGAAGAAGAAGGAGTAGAAGGAAAACGAAGAGATGAGGAAAATGAGTAGTAAATGAAACAAGAAATCTTAATAACCACAGCACCTTCTCACTCAACACACACACAGTCACTCTTTCCGGTTCTTACAGTCGCCGCAAGAAGAGATTGATGCCAGTTAAGCCGAGGGTGACTGTCTCTTTATACTCCGTGACTGTCGATTGAGGCCTCTCTCTCTCTCTCTCTCTCTCTCTATAAGCTATTCCCTCTAAACCACTCTCACTCTGTCTGTCTGTCAGTCTGTGTGTGTGTCTTTTAACGCCAAAACTGAAAAAGGAAGAGCTCGGTAATGTGAGGCACCCAAGAGATTACAACAGCCAAGAGAAATTCCCTTTAATCCGCCTCTGTGTGTGTGGTGGAAGACTCACGAGGTAGTGGCAGGTAGTGGATGACGGTGGCAGATTAGCGTCAGGAAGTAGGTCACTCAAGTCTGCCAAATCCACATTAAAGGTAAAAAAAAAAAAGAATCTTTCATCACTCAGTCAATATCTTAAGCAATATTCTGCCTCACGTGTCAAATATAACTAGGAGGGAGAGAGAGAGAGAGAGAGATTCGATACTTTAAACTGTACTTATAGAAAAAAAAAGTTAATCACTAATTCCTTTTAAGTAATCTTTAAATAACTCTAAATACTCTCGATTCATTTTCCTTGGTTTAAAACTTAACATTTCTCAACGTGCAACAGAATACATTAACATTTATATATATAACCAAGTCTCTTTCTCCATCAATCCGTATTTTTCTCAACAAATTACAAAATATATAAATACACCATTTACTGTATTAAGACACCAAACTAACTCGGTATACTGATAAATTAGTTAATCTTTTGTGCTCCCAACCGCGCCCAGCAAGGTGTAGCTATCTATATGTCTGTCTGTCTGTCTGTCTGTCTGGCTGTGTGTGTGTGTGTGTGTGTGTGTGTGTGTGTTGTGTGTGTGTGTGTGTGTGTGTGTGTGTGTGTGTGTGTTGTTGGCATTAATTCATATACAGGGTGTAGAAAGAAATAATTATTTAAAAACACTTGTGCCAGATGTTGTCCAGCACACTAAAATTCCTAACCACATCAAGACTTTAACCACAATAACACATAAAATATACAATAACCAGAAATAAAACCATTAATAAGAGGTTATTTATCTACGAATGTTTGTATCTAGGAACTGTTGAGTATTAATTAGGATATTTTACCCTATTTTTCACGGTCACTCCCCCCCACCCCCTACAGGTTCAGGTCCCAAGGGTTTGTCGCCCTCCTGTCTCTCCCCACCTCACCTCCCCCCAGGCCTGTAGGATAGCATGAAATGTTGGCGGGTAAACCGAGAATTAAAATAATAAAATCTACAAATGCTGCCGTCACACCCCCCACAAAAATTAATACACGGATATACATAAAAAGTTAATAAGTGAAAATCGAGATAAATTAAAACATAGGAAACGTGTCATGGATAACACACACACACCATGAGGACGGATGCTCATTTGACAAAAGTCCACACAGATCACCACCAAATGAAACAAGTGACTTACGGATAACATGGCGATTATAGCTCCCCCCCCCTACACACAACCAGGTTATTTCGCCTTAAAATTAACCTAACCTAACCCAACCAAGCCAAGAACCCAACCTAGCCTGGCAAGGACCCAACGTAACATTTCCCAAACCTAACCGGCGTTTACTAACCCCCTCCTCTCCTTGGTAGCGTTAGCGTATTTAATAATCATGTGTAATAAGCTATAGGAGGTCTAATTAATCTCCATATGTTCTTAACTAACATTAATAATAATATATATTTCCACGGTAGACTGATTAAATGTAGATGTTGTTGTTCATCCTGGAAATAATATAACAACAGGTTTGGTGGTGAGTGGGTGGTGTGGTGGGTGGTGTCTTGGGTGGGTGGTGGGCGTGGGGCCATCCGGTTGGGGGTCGCAGGTGCCAATTATTAAATAACAAATCCATGATGTGTTGTGTTGTGTACGCGGCTCTGTACTTACAGTCATACACACGTCAACCTGCCACCAGCGAGTATATAATAATAATAATAAATAATAATAATAATATTTATCTTTTTCTTACTAAAATATGCAAACAAAATAAAAAAAACAAAATCGACCTGACAGTAAACGTAATCTGGTAAAGTTAAACGTATAATTAAGGCAACATTGTGGTGATTCTTGGATAGGTTACCTTAGGTCTGTCGGCACACTACTACACTGAAACCTAAGTATGTATGTATGTATGTATGTATGTGTGTGGCCGGAAAATCCCCAGGCCTGTGCTGAGTCAACCTGTTGCTGTGTAGTATTGACTCATAAAACAACAGTATTCTATATACATGAACCTGACTCATTCATTCAACACACACACACACGTGTTTGTAGTGAGCAATTCTTTCTGAAATATCGATAAAGAGATACAAATTAATTCATACTCATTTCCGTGCGGTACCTATATATGATTGGATATGAGTAATACCCTACGAAATATAACGCACATATTGAAACCGGCTATAGTGATTAAGGTAGGGGGGAGGGAGGGACACACGAATCATTACTTTCTAATATATGAACACATCTGCACACGACATGGACTAAATTACGTGAGATTAAAGTTAACGATCATTATTATAAATCAATTGTTGTATTTATGTAATAGTTACCGCTAGCAGTTCACACCACGTTACGGGTTTTTGTCGGTGTTTAAGGCGAGGGCGGGAGTGGTCCTACGTAATTAGATGTATCGCAGATGTCACACAAAATATCTACTACTGGTGGTGGCGCTGTTGTTCCTCGCCTTGTAGGGTGGGTGGCGGCGGGTGGTGGTGGTGGTGGTGGGCAGGTGGTGGGTGGGTGGCAGGTGGTGGAGTAGTAGAGTGTTTGTTGATGTAGGTGATGATGGTGGTGGTGGTGGCAGGTAGAGAGTGGTGGTGGCAGGTAGAGAGTGGTGGTAGCAGGTAGTGGGAGTCGCCTCGTTTTACACCCATTACTATTTCAATTTAACAGCTATTCTACCACTATCTGTTCTCACTCCGCGAAAAACTCCCGACGGAGAAAGTTTAATTTGTCCTCGGTGTGAAAGAAGTCAACCGACGTCCTCAAGTATAAAAAAGACCACGTGTGTCACAAGGTAATTTATACGCAATACGTGTCCTAGAAATCACTCAACCAAACCACACCACACAACACAACCATTACCGCGAGGGTGATTTTAATATTTAGTCTTATTTTCTCTCTCCTCACGCCTTTTATCACACAACAGTATCAAACTACACATACAGGATCAAGAGGTATTAGATTAACTACCCTAACGTGATTAACCGATTCACATACAAATTTATCTCTTTTTTTTCAATCCTTTATTCAAGTTTTCGTCTTTTGTTTCTCTTATTTTCTTTTTAGTTTATATCAAGATATTTATAATGGCTGTATTTAAAAAGCACAACAACTGTTCCAAGACGCGTGACTTAATTTTAGTAGTTGTTCACAGGGGAGGTTAGGTTAGGTTTTTGTTTGGTTGGGTTATAAACAATGGATCTGTCTGTTATTACTTGCTTATCACGACAAGATGATAATTACGACAATCAACAGCGTGACAGTGAGTGAGCGTCCCACAAGCTTGTTTCTAATCTCGTCTTATAGTCACTTGGATTAATTAAGGGTTAACCAATAATGCTATGGGTTCACCTGAATATTAGACACCCCTATTTATTTCACCTGACCGAAGATTAATTATCCCTGACGCTAACCTAATCTAACCATCCTGACGCTAACCTAACCACCCCAGGTAGAGTTAGGGTAGTTAATCTTCAGGTGAAATATACAGGGATGTCTAATCTTCAGGTGATCCTATCTTCCAAGAACGCAATAACATGAAATATATTCCCACTAAATAAAACCCCATCAATATGTTTGCTTAGGTTAGGTTACTAGGTAAGGTTAGTGAAAACGAGATAACGATAAAGGAAGTGTTCAGTGACAAAACACACACGTAACATTGTGCTAAATATTGACACTATTCTAATTATCTATTCTTCAGGTAAGTGTGTGGTGTGTGTGTGTGTGTGTGTGTGTGTGTGTGTGTGTGTGTTTGCAAGTCGTATACTATAGATAAGACAGATTGTACTTTCAGGTGACGCAGCAGGGAACAGTTAATTAAGACACAGGTAAATAAACAGTAACTAGATTCAAAACAAAACTTAATTCTCTCTCTCTCTCTCTCTCTCTCTCTCTCTCTCTTACCTCAGTGCTGGCCTGATCCACTGACGTCAACACTCCTCGCTTCAAAACGTCATCAACTGGTCTGAAAGTAAGGGAAAAACAGATGAATAACGACACACCGACTACTAATAACGAGTAATATACATTCTACCACACCAAGACGTATGTATGTTAAGTGTTATACATTCTACCACACCAAGACGTATGTATGTTAAGTGTTATACATTCTACCACACCAAGACGTATGTATGTTAAGTGTTATACATTCTACCACACCAAGACGTATGTATGTTAAGTGTTATACATTCTACCACACCAAGACGTATGTATGTTAAGTTACTCACACCAGACGTATGTATGTGTTATTTCTCAAGACTATGTATGTTTTATACATTCTACACATGTGTTAGTTTATTCCACAAGTTGTATAAGTTTACTTCTCACGATTTGTTCATCTACCACAAGACGTATGTATGTTTGTATTCTACCACACCAAGACGTATGTATGTTAAGTGTTATACATTCTACCACACCAAGACGTATGTATGTTAAGTACTACAACAATATTAATTAAACACTAGTGAAATTTCGGGTAAACATATAGGGCTTAAGAACATCTCACAGCAACAGCTCTTATAGGTAAACAAACTGCAACAGCATATATAAGGCCTAGTTTGTAGTGCACACCAACACACGATGGTTGACATTCCATGACCACCACCACCTCTTCGTCTCCCCCCTGCACCTTCTCTTCTTCCTTCTCCTCACCTTCTTCCTTCACCTCCTCCTCCTCATCACTCCGTGGATTCCGGAGGAGGACGACCCGCATTCAGCTTTCCCTTCGCCGAGTAACTGTGTATCGTAAAGGCCACTTGTTGCTCCCCCTTGTTCACACACACACTCTCTGAACTGTTTCCCCGGCGGGCATAAATCCTTCCAGATATCCAAGAATACAATATGAAACTGGACAAAATTAGTTTAGGTTAGGCTATGAGAGGTGAGGTTAGGCCAGGTCAGATTAGGCCAGGTCAGGTCAGGTCAGGTTTGGTTAGGTTAAATTCAAGGTTACTTTCTCTTACTACTCATCACTGCCATGTTAAAGTTTTCCCTGATTGAGCCGACAACACCCAGCTGTTAAGAGCTTAATGTACACCAGCAAGGGATACCTAGGACATCCTGGCGGTGGTGAGAGAGAGGTGTGGTGGTGAGGAGAGGTGTGGTGGTGAGGAGGGTGTGGTGGTGGGGAGGGTGTGGTGGTGAGTGAGAGGAGGGTGTGGTGGTGAGGGAGGTGTGGTGGTGAGGGAGAGGTGTGGTGGTGAGGGAGGTGTGGTGGTGAGGGAGGGGTGTGGTGGTGGGGGAGGGTGTGGTGGTGAGGGGAGGTGTGGTGGTGGGGATGGGGAGGAGAGGTGTGGTGGTGGGGAGGGGTGTGGTGGTGGGGAGGGAGGAGGGTGTGGTGGTGGGGAGAGGTGTGGTGGTGGGGGAGGGTGTGGTGGTGGGGGGTGTGGTGGTGGGGAGGGTGTGGTGGTGGGGGGAGAGGTGTGGTGGTGAGGTGTGGTGGTGAGGGGTGTGGTGGTGAGGGGGGGGGGGGGTGGTGGTGGGATGGGAGGGGAGGTGTGGTGGGGGAGGGGTGTGGTGGTGAGGTGAGGGGGAGAAGGTGTGGTGGTGAGGGAGAGGTGTGGTGGGTGAGGGGAGGTGTGGTGGTGAGGATGGAGGAGGGAGAGGTGTGGTGGTGAGGGAGGGTGTGGTGGTGAGGGAGAGGTGTGGGTGGTGAGGGAGGGTGTGGTGGTGGGGGGGGTGTGGTGGTGGGGATGGGGGGGGGAAGGTGTGGTGGTGAGGGAGGGTGTGGTGGTGAGGATGAGGAGGAGAGGTGTGGTGGTGAGGGAGGGGTGTGGTGGTGAGGGAGAGGTGTGGTGGTGAGGTGAGGAGGGGAGAGGTGTGGTGGTGAGGGAGAGGTGTGGTGGTGAGGAGGTGTGGTGGTGAGGATGGGGAGGAGAGGTGTGGTGGTGGGGAGGGTGTGGTGGTGGGATGAGGCAGGAGGTGTGGTGAGGGAGAGGTGTGGTGGTGAGGAGGAGGTGTGGTGGTGGGGGGGGGGAGGTGTGGTGGTGAGGAGGGTGTGGTGGTGGGGGGGGGGAGAGGTGTGGTGGTGAGGGAGGGGGTGTGGTGGTGGGGAGGTGTGGTGGTGAGGGATGAGGAGGGAGAGGTGTGGTGGTGGGGAGGGGGTGTGGTGGTGAGGATGGGGAGGGGAGGGTGTGGTGGTGAGGGAGAGGTGTGGTGGTGGGAGGGGGGAGAGGTGTGGTGGTGAGGAGAGGTGTGGTGGTGGGGAGAGGTGTGGTGGTGAGGGAGGTGTGGTGGTGAGGAGGTGTGGTGGTGAGGGAGGAGGGAGAGGTGTGGTGGGGAGGAGGTGTGGTAGTGAGGATGAGGCACCATGGGGGGGGCAGGAGGGATGTGGCTAGGGGAAAAACTGGCTCACCCTTCTACAGTATGTCTTCTCAGTGGCTCTTGGTTATGATTAGGTCAAAACACACACACACACACACACGGCGGCTAATTAACGTCGACACTGTATCTATTCCCACCACCTTAACTATAGGTTCCTGTCATCATTTTTATAGAACAAATTAATCAAAGAATTATCTATATTTCTTCCTAGGTCACTATTACCATGATACACCTTGTTGACCACCATGATACACCCTGTTGACCACCATGATACACCTGTACACCACCATGACACACCTGTACACCACCATGATACACCTGTACATCACGATACACCACCAGATAAGTGTGATGGCAGGGGTGACACACACACACACACACACACGTATAATGTTCGACCAATCAAGAAAGTTGTGGCGGTAACATTCTTGGTCCTGTCCATTCATTGCAGGGCGTTGGTCGAGTCAGTGTGGGCTGGTGCTAGTGCTTGGCTGCAGCTTGGCTTGTGGCTGGGGTGGGGGTGGGCAGTACAAACCCGGAGGTAAGGTGCTTCCCCCAAAAAACAAACAAACATACTACACCAATATTAACACTAAAGACTTTAAAACAATGTAGAAGTTATTTTTTTTTAAGAGATAAAAATAAATGAATAAATTAAAAGTGTCGTGTACATTTTGTTCCTTTGATTAACTTGGAAGCGAAAGCACACAGTTGATCTTGGTGGAGAGAGAGAGAGAGAGGCTCACCTGAATCACACAGCTCAGGTAAACAAAACAAGGCGACATCTTAATATTCAACATACGGTAAGAACCTCCATAAAATCATACTGGCTTACGGTTAATAGTGAAAACCGGATAACAGTGAGAGCCGGATGACAGTGAGGGATGAACAGTGAGAGCCGGATGACAGTGAGAGCCGGATGACATTGAAAGACGGATAACTGAGAGCCGAGTAACATTGGTAGCCGAATAACAGTAACAGCCGAATAATAGTGAAAGCCGGATAACAGTGAGTTCCAGATAGCAGTGCGAACCAGATAACAGTACGAACTAGATAAGACTATAACATTCGAATAAAATTGACAGCCGGATAACAGTGACAGCCGGATAACATTAACAACCGGATAATATTGAGGAGGAACAGTTTACTACAGAGGTCGGTTGTGTTCCAAAGACAATGACACTTGTTGGTCTGGTTTTTGCACCTTCTCTCACCTCTCCCGCCATGTCCCTCCCTCCTCCTCTTGTCCTAACTCCTTCTCTCCCTCCTGCCTATGCTCCTCCCTCATCTATGTTTACCTGGCGTTGACTCCTAAGCTCCTGTAAAGCCCATTGTTCGGTACCATTAGATTCCTACCTATTTGTGTTGGTACAATCCCTCTGTACTCTACCATCCCGTCTAAATCTACCCAATCCCGTCACAATCCTACCCATCCCCGTCACAATCCACATCCCGTCACCATCCTACATCTGCATCCACAATCCTATCCGTCACACTCCTACCCATCCCCGTCACACTACCCACACGTCACTCACCCATACCGTCACTCTCCTACCTACCCGTCACACTCCTACCCATACGTCACACTCCACCCTACCCGTCACACTCCTACTCTCATATCCTCTTGTCACACTCCTACCCATACCGTCATATCTCAGCAATACTATCTATCACTGGGAGTCGCATGAATTATTCCTGGTGGGGACTAACTAGTGTGTCACAACAATGGCGACCTCTTCCACCATCCCAAACAAAATAGATGTCCCAAGTCTCCCTCATCCATCCTTCTTCCTTCCTTACCTCCCTCTTCCTTCCCTTACCCCACCCTCACCACCCTTCCTCCATAGTAAACAAATCTCCCCACTACCTCTTCCCTAGACAACGACCCCCCTCCCCCCACATACACTACAATGATGAAACCCCTTGAGTATGATGATTAAACCCCTTGAGTACAATGACAACCCCCCCCCCTTGAGTTCAATAATATAACCCGTTGAATACTATGCCATAAGGTTGAGTACGATGACAACACCTTGAGTACAACGATTTAACACCTTGAATACGACATCTTAAAAGTCATCGTACTCGAGAGGCTGTCATCGTACTCGAGGGGTTATAGACAACGAGTTTTTAGCTATGTAATTTGAATCAGATTGTACATATTAGGACCAGCCTAGCTAGCTTCAGTACAGAGATATATACAATTATAATATATTTACTACACTCTCAGTAAACCTGTATTCTTCCTATTTCATGCACCCATAATAGGTATATCTTACTCACTTTCAACAATAGTTTATATGCGTTAGATATACATAAGAACCAATTAATATGTACTTAATTCTTAACTTAATTAAGGCAGGTGTGGAAGTATGGCCTCACTGTACAATAGACCGGTGTACACACATTGGTACATACGTTCAACAATGTACATACTATGACTGACGTACACAGACTGGTGCATATATTAAAAGCCAGGAACACACACACACACACACACACACACACACACACGAATGAATTAACACTCGACCTCCCCATTTTATTTATTCAGAGGCAGTAAGTGGGCGAGACTCCTCACTCACTAGTACACCCCACCATAGCATTTCAATATGTACAATTTAAAGTAACCTAACCTAACCT